TATAAGTTAAGCCCATACATGAAATTTATTTTAACCAATACCCATGTGTAAATATTACAATTGGCATTGAGATTTAAGATATGTGTGAGATTCTCTTTGATTTAAATAATAATAGTATAATTAAACTATGTGATCTAAAAAAATTACAATATAAGTAATTGTTTTAAAATAATCTAATCTAATCTAATACGGAGAAAATATATGAAAATAATGTGAAAATTATTGCAATTTCATAATTCATAATTTTTAAAAAATCTAATATAATCTAATCTAATAAGAAGAAAATAACAAAAACACATATATGTTGAAGGAGATAAAAATGCTATGAAAATTATTGCAATTTCTAATCTAAAAAAAAGATCAAACATATAATATAATTACTTGCTTTAAAATAATTTAAGCTAATCTAATAAGAAGAAAATAGACGAAAGTGATGTAAAAATTGTTGATATTTCTTGATGTGAAAAAAGATCAAATATATAATATAATTAATTGCTTTAAAATAATCTAATTTAATATAATAAGAAGAAAATAACAAAGACAAATACTTGTAGAAGGATATGAAAGTGCTATGGAAATTATTATAGTTTCGACTTATAAACATTGGTATGTGATGTTGCATGTGAGATGATAACAATTGTAAATAGAGTTCTATTTAAATAATAATAATATAATTAAACTTTAAAACTAATTATGTAGTGTCGTGAACTACTTGAATTTTAGTTGTTGAGAGATCGCCACGTTGTGTCCTCATATCGCAGCCGTTTATTTTAATTTTTTTATAATTTTTAAAACGATTGTCTCTTTAATTTGTTTGGTGGATTTTGCAAATACTCCGTCCACATTATGTACATTTGTAGGTCTGCGTTGCTCCGGGGTTCGACCTCTGCAGCGAACATTATTTGTCTCACTAATTTGTTTGGTTTTTGCATATACATCATTTATCTTGTATACATTTGTAAATTTGACATTTAATAAATTTATTTAGGTTTATATTTCAATTTAAACTATATCATTATCTACATACTATGTATATCCAATAAGAATTCATCAATTTATCAACTTACTCTTACTTAATGGATTAATTTGAATTTTAAGGGTATTTTTGTCTACCAAAAAATTTTCCCGAACTCAAATTTGACATTTAATAAATTCATTTAGGTTTACATTTCAATTTAAACTATATCATTATCTTCATACTATGTATATCCAATAAGAATTCATTAATTTATCAACTTACTCTTACTTAATGGATTAATTTGAATTTTAAGGATATATTTGTCTACCAAAAGATTTTCTCGAACTTGTGCTTTTAAAGAGAGTATGATATGATAAAGTATCATCAGTGAAAGTACAATTACCGTATTATAAATAGGGTGTTTTTTTCTGGTTTTTTTAAGATATTATCATATTAGTCCCTTAAATAATTACACTTGAGCCCCTCAAATCTTAGAAATTGCATCTTAATCCCTCACGCATTCAATTATTGCATATTGGTCCCTTAATCTTCAATAATTTCATACTAGTCCCTCAAATCTTTGAAATTGCACATTAGCCCCTCAAATCCAGTAAGGTCTTGCAAAATGGTCATTCAGGTTAAATCACGTTAGATTTTGGGGGAATATTCCATCAAATCTAATAGTTAAAGGAAAAATGATCATTTTACCCCCTCTATATTGTTTCCCAACAATTTTGTGATAGGTTTAAACCTAACACTTGCTTAAAATAAATCTAAACTTTTCTGAGTTCCTCTTCTCCAATTTTTAGCAAAAAATTATGGAGGTAAAATGATGATTTACCACCTCTATAATTTTCTCCAATCATTTTTTGATAGGTTTAAACCAAATATCCGCGCAAAATAAATCTAAACTTACATGAGTTCTTCTCTAATTGTTAACAAAAATTTTGGAGATAAAATGACCATTTTACCCCCTCTGTAATGTTTATCAACCATTTTTAATATGTCTAAACATAATACCCGCTTAAAATAAATCCAAAGTCACATGAATTCTTCTTCTCTAGTTGTTAGCAAAAAATCTTAACCAAAAGTTGAGTTGTACAAAGGGTTAAAACTTCGGAGCTTCAACATTTTGTGTAACTCAACTTTGGGTTAATAAATTATGATGGATAATTAACGTAGTCTAAGTCAGTCGGGTTGCACTTAATAAATTTAAGACGACTTATTGGTTGAACCGATCAACCAGGCAACAAGACGTGACATATACTTACGTAGTACCATTAAACGTTCGAGGAGGGGGTGAAATTGTAGGGACAATTTTTTGTAACAGGCTACTTTTAAATAAATTTTAGTCAATTTTGATAAATAATTTTTAATCATAGAAATAGACACAATTAAAATTTATTTATCAAATTTGACTGAAAAGTTGCCATGTCAGCATTACTAGTAAATAATTGGTCGGTTTTAAAAAAAATTTAATTTGCAGTATTGAGATTTTTGCGGGCTTAACTATTTAATAATCACACAATGAGTCTTTTATTGAGAATGGGGCCCTGCACGAGTGGATAAAATTGGACCGCACATCTTATCAGAACCACCTACATGTGGTGAGTGATTCTAAGGGATTAATTGAGGGGTCAAATTATCAGTTTGCACACCCCCGGGTTTTTCACATCAAATGTCAAAAGCGTCCGCTAAGCTTAAATAGTTAATAATCACAAGAAGCCCAGACTAGGTGTGAACAGAGTGAGTTTGTTTATTGAGAATGGAGTCATGCGTGTGTGGATAAAATTGGACTGCACATCTTACCAGAACCATCTGCATGCGACAGGTGGTTCTGAGCTATTAATTGAGGGGACAAATTATCAAAATTGTTACCACCTTAACCCCCCCCCCCCCCCCCCCCCCCCCGTTTATTCACAATCGATGTTCAGAACGCGCCCACTCGGTATGCGGCGCGGTTATGCATAGTAGTAGTACTTATAAAACTGAGGGTGGATCACAGCTAATGTGGGTGAACGCATAGGATTTGACAGAGGGGGCTCGCATGTAAACCCTGCCATCAAATGATGAATTTCGCAAGAGGAACAATCTCTGCTTAGTTATAATTATACTTCTTAATCTTCGGGATTCTAATCCTAGGTACTTAAAATATCACCTCTTGTCACCTATCGTGCGTGACTCATACTGTTGGAATCATGGTTCCGCACGGTCTTGGGTACGATTTTGGCCTGGATTATCTAAAAAAAATATTCACCTCTTCGCGCAAATCGACCAACTTTTCAAATTAGCAGCTAATGTGACTTAGAATAGGTTAGAACCAGCCACTGGTATGTGGGGCGGTTATGATAGGAGTAGTACTTATAAAATTGAGGTGGATCACAGCTAATGTGGGTGAATGCATAGGATTGATAGAGGGTTTCTCACAGGGTAAACCTCCTTCTATCGGTGAATTCGCAAGAGGAACAATCTCTGTTAGTAATAATTATACTTCTTAATCTTCAGGATTCTAAATCCCGCGGTACTTAAAATATCACCTCTTCGCACCTACCGGTGCGTGACTCATACTATTGGAAATCATGGTTCCCACAGTCTGGGTTCGATTTTGGCCTGGATTATCCAAAAAAAAGTATTCACCTCTTCGCAAAATCGACTAACTTTTCAAATTGGTGCTAATGTGACTTAGAATAGGTGATTTCCTGATAAATAAATCTTAATCGCGTTAATTTTGACAACTAAATTTTAGGAATAGTCAATTTTAAAATTTTATTCTTATACCTGATTATATATACTATATATATATATATATATATATATATATATATATATATATATATATATATATATATATATATAATATATCTATATATATATATATATATATATATATATATATACATATATTATATATATATATATATACATATATATATTATATATACTATACATATATATATATATATATATATACATATATATATATATATATATATATATATATATATATATATATATATATATATATATAGAGAGAGAGAGAGAGAGAGAGAGAGGCGCAATATGGGTATGCTTGGTACCAAGCACAAAAAAGTTATGCTTGGTAGTGAGGTGCTCACATCCCCCGTCCACTCATTCAATCATGCGACCACATTCATATGGGTAGTGAGTGGGATGAGGATGTGACACATCACTAGCTAAGCACAAAATTTGCTTGGCTACCAAGCATACCCATTTTCTTATATATATATATATATATATATATATATATATATATATATATATATATATATATATATATATATATATGATTAATGAGTATCCTTGTCATAGGAGGATATTTCCCTAATTGTCGTCTATATAGGCACAATCCCCACCAACTCACACACTCTCTCCTACTTTATAAGGATGGTGGGGATTGTGCCACATAGACGTCGAGGAAATCCCCTCCTATGACAAGGATACCCATTAATCTTTATATACTATATATTATATATTATATATAGTATATGCTACAAGTCGTTTAGTCAAATGAGGCTTAAATAAATCCTGCATGCTACAAGTCATTTAGTCAAATGAGGCTTAAATTAGCAGGCAATGATTGTTTGGAGTTAAGAAATAGTACGATATTTTTAAAAAGTAATTATGTAAGATCTTTCTACTTTAAGGGGAGAACTGGTGTAACTAATATTAGCTTATTAGAGCTGTTAGCGAGTGCCGTGACAAATGGGACAAAAATAACGTAACACCATGCGATCACATGCATCTCCTTAATGAATCTCTCCTATGCCCTGGTACATATTCCCACCAACGGACCAACCAATCTATGATTATTTTGGGCAATGTGAGTTAGGTTGCGGTTACAGCTGACTCCTGCCAAAATACACTGAACTTGTTGGCGGTGGATATATAAGATAATAAGATCCTAGTTTTATTTAAGAATATATAAAATACTGCCTTTCAGATGAAATTAATTTACCTTTTAAATTTGACAGTCTCATCCAAACTAATTGCAAAGATTATCAACATCCGAGGGGCTTATACCTGGAAAAGTTACCGAATGATATAACAAACGATATGAAGTAGTGGCAACAACTGATATTTCAACATAGTAGTGACGAGATTCATCTCTCAAAGTGTCAACAGACTAAATAAAGAACAGCTAAAACAAGATATCAATCCCCTCTTAACTACTCAAGAATAAAATTATGTAACGGAAAAAAAAAATTCCATGCAAGAAATTTCAATTAGAAGATTCATGCATATTGCAGAAAACTGTTGCCCTCTTCACAGTCGAACGCTAGATGATTTCTTTCCGGCAGAACTTGTCGAACCGTCGCTGCACCCACACTGGCACTAGCTCCTGCCTCTCACTCTTCCATACTCTACCCCCATTTCCTCCACCATGAAGTTGCTCAGAGGGAGGGTTTGTTTATCTAAAAGCAGAAACAGAAAGCATCAAAGAATAGAAATAAATATATAGGATTAATTAAAATCCAGTACCTTGTGGTATGATGTCACTAACACACTTGACCCTGGAGTTTGTGTATCTACAAGGATAACATTGACATTACTGATTGTAATAACGCGGCTGTAATAACACGGGTAACCCTGAGAGTTATTTTTCATCTGGGCTCTAGGGTCACCCATGTAGCAACATTGGTAATCTCAGTATTTACTCGGCTAGATTCACAAACTCCTGGGTTACCTGCATAATAACACCAGACCTAAGGGAACTGGGATGTAATTAATCCAATATAATAATAACAGAGGCAAAAGTTTGTTATGAGGAAATATTTAGGCTCGGAGTCGGAGATGGAAACTCAGAATTTAGGATAATGCAGAAAAATCTGGACAGGGTCATAAAGACTTGACGAGGAGTTTAGAATGGTGTGACGTTAAAAGTAAAAATTACGTGGAAGTATTTTAATTTCATGAACTCCACATGCAAAACACACAAAAGAAGTAGCAACATTAACCAAAACCCTCGCGAAGAAGCCCACTAAAAACACCAATTTGAAAAAGAGATTTATAATTAATAGAAATAGTACTAAAAATAGATAAAGAAGAACTTGATTGGAAGCAATTAAAACGGCCATGAAGTGGTTACTTAGTGGAGATGATAGAGCTTAACAGAGCTGAATGGAAGAATATGATATGCGTAGCAAATCCCAAAATTGGAATAAAAGCTTTGCTGTTGTTGTAATTAGCCAAACCATTACAAGTTTCTTTTATAAGGATCGAAGACTAGATGTCAGATTATCAGCCAGGAAATCTTACAACAGAATATATAAAGTTGTTATAGTTCGATAAATGATAATTATACTCCACTGCTAGTCCCAAATAAGACGGATGAAATGGAAATTGACTTCTTAAACTTGACATTTGGGTATTAACTTTGCACATTGTAGGTTAACAAAAAATTCAAAAGTGGTATTTTCCTTTTAAAATAACATATTGTTGTAATATGCGCAAACATACCTAAAATTTTTCAGTTAATATATAAGATGGCATGTGCTTATGCTGGTTCGCCTTGCATCTCAGCAGCTGTCCTTTTCGACTTGTGCTTTGATTTCTTCTCTCGTTTCTTGCTTCTGTTGATAGAAACAAAGCCAAACGTATACGCAACACATTAAGGAAACTCGTATGGTAAAGAAGAAGAAAAATTGAAGGGACTAAAAGTACGTACTCATCTTTTGAGCTAGGATCCCAGCAGCTCTTTAATTTTCGATCAATATGCCTCATATCCTTAGCAGTTGGAATTTTTAGTTTTGCCAGCTGTAGCATAAGCAAAAATGTGGATACAATGCTTGTAAAGGTTGCTTCAGAGAACATGGGATATATAGGTGCATTTAAGTCAATGAAGAGGTCCAAATAAGAAAATACCATAGAACCAAAATATTCTGCTCAAAATCATGAAGTTCCATGTGAAAAAAATGCGTATACAGAACCAAACTTATGGACAAAGCAAGCAATGTTAGGTAAGTGTGTCAACTAAATAATAGGATTCAACCAATTTTAGTTAGTATGAAAGACTAGTGATTAACTATGTACACAGAACCAGACTTGTGGACATAGCTAGAAAGGTAGGTAGGGTGTGTCAACCGAATCATAGGATTCAACCCACTTTCATTACTATGTAACATAGATATAGTAATGACATATGGCTATGCACAGGTCATCAAGAGTTACCAAAAGCTCAATGGATGACATGGTTTGAGCAAGCTCTGTTGTGGTGTGAACTCCCTGCCGAGATAGCATACTCTCCAAGTATCTGCACAGGTTTTAAACGTAAAGAAAACAGAGGGTCAATACATAAAAGGTAAGCTGACTATATTCCAAAACGAACAGGGGTTGTTTTGTTTTGTTTTTTTTGTTTGTGTGTGTGTGTTTTTTTTTTTTGGCGGGGTGGGG